GTGCTAGAGAATGTAGAACCCTTGAGTGTGTGGGAGAAGGACTGCCTTGCAGGCATGTGCTGAATGTGAAGCAGGCGCAGGTGATAATTTTGGGTGCAATTTCCTTAAGCAAATTCCCTGAATACCTCAGTGGCCTACATGTTACTGATATTTGTCTCTGTCAGAGCTCCAGAAGTTTTTTTGTTTTTGTTTTTGTTTTTGTTTTTGTTTTTTGTTTTTGTTTTTTGTTTTTTTTTTTTTTCCTGAACTGGTCTGGTGGACCTGCAGAGCAGGGGCTTCAATGTCCCAAGAAACCCTTTGTTTCCCACAGTGGGTGTGTGGGTGGGAGGGATCTGATGTCTGGTTGCTAGCTTAGAAGGACCCTGTATCTGATGTTCTGCAGCCACTTGAGGGCGCACTCCCTCTCAGGCAGGTCACATCAGCAAGGACCTGGGTACCCCAGCTCTCTGCTCTCAGGTTTGGACCTGCTGAGTCATATGCAAGAGGACTTAGGAGCTCTGCCAGCTCAGTGGTACTGTTATCACCAAACTAGGGAGTCCAGCTGTGTCTGCACACAGGGAGGCTGGTCCAGATGCCTTCTAGGAAGTGCTAGGGAGCTATAACAGTGGTCCACAGACCTAGGTGGCCTGGCTCCTCTTGTATCTGGTTTGTTTGGCAGATATGCTGGACTTTGGTGGCTGTACAGCCAGCTATCTGCCACTGAGGGTTTGGGGAGGCCTTACAATCACTGGCTGGGAGGGCCTGCACAGTAGGTAAGGCTGCTCACAGATGTGGGATCCTGGAGGGTGGTACCATGGATCTCAGATTCAGAAGGCTGGTACAGCTGGCAGCTGCAGCTGAGTAGCTAGGAGCCCCGCCTCTGCTGTCGCAGTCCCCAGCTAGTGAGTTCTGTGCTTAGAATCTCTGTGAGCCAGCTCTGCCAAGGAGGAAGAGGAGGTAGGCCCTCAAAAAGGAGAGTGCAAGGGGAACAGAAGATTGTTTCTCTCCTTCCCTAAAGAATTCAGTGGGTGACCTGAGTGTAAAGGTCTCAACTCATGTGATGTTCCTTCTTGTTCAGATAGCCTCACTGTTGATTTTCTGGCTTTAGCTGTCCCTCCATTCACTAAATCTGGAGTTTCGGATCCTCTACCTCTCATATACTGTGCCCACTGGTCGCTGCCATCTTGGATCTCTCCAAAACTATTTTCTTATTTTATACATATGGGCCTTTAGAGTGCATGTATGTCTGTGAAACACATGCTTGCAGTCCCTACAAGTGCAGAGACCAAAAGGAGATATAGGACGATAGTTCTGAGCTGTTATGTGGATGATGGGAATAAAGCCCAGGTTCTCATCAAGACCAGGGAGTGTTCTTAACTGCTAAGATATCTCTCCTACTCCAAGTTTTAAACGTTTTTAACTATAACAGAATTATAATATTGTACATAATCAGGAAACTGGTATTGTGTAAAGAGCTTTTTATATGGGCAATGCAAATCATGGTTAACAATAATTTTTACTTTGATTTCTATCTAAATTCCAGTAGCACATCACTGAGAGTCTTAGGAAGGGATCGGATCTGATCTAAGAAAAAGAATAGACATACAAAAATATGAAAGCAGCCCAGAGAAGAATACTCAGGTCCAAGGGATGTTCAAATACACATCCCTACATACCCTGGATGATGTTGAAGTACTTGATAATTTTGTATATATTTGTGTGTGTGTATGTGTGTGTATGTGTATTCTAATGAAAGTTCTACAATATTCATCAACTTCCCAAAAAAGACTAGAAGGAGATATAGCTCAAATATTTAAAGGTTCAACCTTTCTAAAATTATTTGACCTTTAAAATTATTACCCTCACAATACCAGTTATTTCTGAAAAACCAGTTGTAATTCTGTACAACCTCACAATACCAGTTATTTCTGAAAAACCAGCTGTAATCCTGTACAACCACTTTGGAAATCAATCTGGCACTTTTCAGACAATTAGGAATAGTGCTTCCTCAAGACACAGCTATACTGCTCCTAGGCATATATCCAAAAGAAGCTCAAGTACACAACAAGGACATTTGCTCAACCATGTTTATAGCAACTTTATTCGTAATAGCCAGAACCTGGAAACAACACAGATGTCCATCAACGGAGGAATGAGTACAGAAATTGTGGTACTTTTACACAATGGAATACTACTCAGCAATTAAAAACAAGGAAATCATGAATTTTGCAGACAAATGCTGGGATCTAGAAAAAAATCATCCTGAGTGAGGTATCCCAAAAGCAGAAAGACACATATGTATATACTATATAAGTCTATATATATACTATATATAAGTATATATATATGTATATATACTCTCTCTCTCTCTATATATATATATACTTATATATATATATATATATATGTATATACTCACTTGTATAGACCTATAAGATAGGATAAACATACTAAAATATGTACACCTAAAGGAGATAAACAAGAAAGAGGTCCAGGGGTAAGATGATCAATCCTCATCTAGAAAGACAAAGAGGATGGACGTTGGAAATAGGAGAAAACAGGTAACGGGACAGTAGCCTACCTCAGAAGGCACCTGAAAGACTCTACCTAGCAGTGTATCAAAGCAGATGCTGAGACCCATAACCAAACCTTCGGCATAGTGTAGGGAATCATATGAAAGAAGGAAGAATTAGTATATCCTAAAGGGGTCAGGGAGCTTTACAAGGTCCAAATATATCTGAGCACAGGGGTCTTCTATGAGACTGTTTATCTAACCAAGGACCATGCATGAATATTACCTACAACCCCTGCTCAGAAAGAGACCATGGTAGCTAAGTATCCAAGTGAGTTCCTTAGTAAGGGGGACAGGAATTGTTTCTGACATGAACTCATGAGCTTCCCCTCGCTCCTCAGAGAGGAGTAGGCTTGCTAGGCCACAGACAAGGACATTGCAACCATCCTGAAGATACCTGATAAGCTAGGGCCAGATGGAAGTAGAGGAGGACACCTCCTCTCGGTGGACTCAGAAGGGGGCAGGGAGGAGATGAGAGAGGGAGGGGAGGATTGGGAGGGAAAGAGGGAGAAGGCTACAGCTGGGATACAAGTAAATGTATAAAATTATTTAAAAATTAAAATAAAATATTAAAAAAAGAAAAAATATCCAGGATTTATAAACAAGAATGTTCAAATAAACTGACTATAGCAAACAAACAAACAAAAAACAAAGCAAAACAACAACAACAAAAAAAAAAACACTTACGAAAGTGATAAATTACCATATTCTTTTATAATGTTAAGGACATGAATACAATCTAGATGTAATAATAATAAAAAGCAGTAAAAGGACATAGGTTAAAATGATGATAAATCATAATTTGTCATGTCATAACAAAGTCCCAAATTCTCATGTGAACTTGTCAAATCTTCATAATGCTCTACAAAAATATCACCTTAATGGCAATTATATTGATATAGACACACATTCATAAAAAAGCTACTTTTAAAATGTACTCTGTTGAAAATGGACTTATCTTGATGTAGCTAATATGTGTCATTTATGGAAATCTCTCAATTGCCTACAGTAAGTATGGATTTATTTTAGAAATGAAAAATAAAATATGAGAAAAATATTCAATCTTTGACCTTAAATTTTATTTATTTATTTTTATTTATTTATTTTTATTCCCTTTATGTCCTGGTTGTAGTTCCATCTCTCCTTCACTCCTAGTTCTACCTTCCTTCCCATCGCTATCTCCAATTCCTCAGAAAAGGGAGCTCCCTTTCCCATCAAAAGCCGATATTCCACAAAATAGAAAAATCTAATGAAACAGATGATTTTCTTGATAGAATTCACCTAACAAAGTTAAATCAAGATCACGTAAACAATTTAAACAGCCTTATAACACCTAAGCAGTCATCAAAAAAAAAAAAAAAAAAAAAAAAACTGTGTAGCCCAGGCTGGCCTCGAACTCGTGATCCTCCTGCCTCTGCCTCCTTCAGCAAATCCTACTGGTGTGCACCACCACAACCGATTAACTCCAACCAAGGACTATTCGTGGAGATAACCTAGAACCCCTGCACAGATGTAGCCCATGGCAGTTCAGTGTCCAAGTGGGTTACATAGTAATGGGAAGAGGGACTGCCTCTGACATAATCTGATTGGCCTGCTCGTTGATCACCTCCCCCTGAGGGGGGAGCAGCCTTACCAGGCCACAGTAGAGGACAATGCAGCCACTTTTGATGAGAACTGATAGACTAAGATCAGAAAGGAGAGGAGAACCTCCCCTATCAGTGGACTTGGGGAGTGGCATGCATGCAGAAAGGGGAGGGAGGGTGGGATCAGGAGGGGAGGAGGGAAGGGCTTATGGGGGGATACAAAATGAATAAAGTGTAATTAATAAAAAATTTTAAAAAAATCCAGAACCACATGGTTTTAGCACAGAATAATACCAGACATTCAAAGAAGAGCTAATAGCAATACTCCTCAAACTATTCCACAAAATAGAAACTGAAGGAACACTGTCAAATCATTCTATGAAGCCACAGTCACTGACACATAAACCACACAAAGACTCAACAAAAAAAGAAAATTTTAGACCAATTTCACTGATGAGCATCAATGGAAAAATACCCAATAAAATACTAGCAAGTAAAATCCAAAAACATATCAAATACATCACTCACTGTGAACAAGGAGGCTTCATACCAGAGATGTTGAAGTATTTGATAATTTTGTATATATTTGTGTGTGTGTGTATGTGTGTGTATGTGTATTCTAATGAAAGTTCTACAATATTCATCAACTTCCCAAAAAAGACTAGAAGGAGATGTAGCTCAAATATTTACACTTCTGATCCTATAAGGACATTTTTTATGATCCTCAAAAACTAATAATTTTAACAATTGCATGCCCATAGCAACATGATTTACCAAATAGTAGTATAAGTGCAATGAAAGACCTACCCTTAAAAAGTCTATAGAAGGTGTACAACATGAATGACAGTATAGAGTATGATCCATACCTATCAGATGAGTTAAATCAATGTCTAAACGTTGCCTGTACTTGAAGTCTGGGTCCATGCCACTGCAGTGCAGCACTATCTGTGAAACACACTCCTCAATTATTTTATAATACTGTGGCCTGAAAAAAAGTGAGAAAATATTTGAGAATACCTTTCTATTTGTATCAATCAATTTTCTTATGAAGGGATTCAGAATGTTAAAGAACTTAGTTTTTAGCAGCACCACTAAGAAAATAATTCCATTAACATACATTTCTTTAGAGAAAATATGACTAAGGATTAAACATGCTCTGAACGTTAGGGAGTCCAACTGAGTGTGATGTAATTGACTGAAAGTATGTACTAACTTAATATTCTAGTTTACAGGGATTCATGTCTGTGTTCAAAAATACTTACCAACCTTATCTATCTAATTAAGCTATTGTTTCTAAATTTAATGAAAAGAAATGACTATTTAGTCCTATATCTATGAGCACAGATACGGTTCTAGGCAGCCACATGTCCACATTTTCAAAGACAGAGATGAGTTTCTTGGCCTTAGATGGCAAACAATGTCTTAAATTCAATACAGAAGCATTTATTCAGGCCAGTCAATCTAGCTTATAAAACTGGGCTGAGTTGTTTCTGTTATAGACTAATGTAAAGAACTGTGTATACAACATATTTGTGAAAAAAGTTTTATAAAATCATATACACTTAATATGCATAACTATGACTACTATTTGTGTGATGTGTCAAAGGTTTTAAAATAAATCCTTTTTTTCTGTAATCTCCCAAGATAATTCAGACCTTAAGAATGACCACTGACTGGAAAAATAAAAATAAGGGACATTTTGTCCTAAAATTTGCAGAAGACAAATTGTCATGGGATAATGAGTTCAACAGTATTACAGAAATGTATTACTTCAGACAAATTATGACAAACATTTCTAAATATAGCTTGTCAATCTACTAACAACTCAAAAATGAAGAAAAACAGATTCTAATTACCCTTCTATATTTAAATCATGTGGCTGTTCCTAAATTTACGAATGAAAAAAAATATGTATCCTGGGTCTAAGGCTATCAAAATCATCAGATCTTGGGGGAAATAGTCCTTAAGCTGAATGTGGTGAACCAATCTGAATAACTAACAAAAACACGATTCTTTTTGTGGGGATAGTCAGGAGCCTACATGTGAAATGAAAGTACCTGTCATACCTCTAACTTGTAGGAATATCCTTAGGGAGAATATGGGCTGTGGATATAGCTCAATGGATAAAAGCACTGGTTGTACAAGAAAGAAGACCTAAGTTCAAATGTCAAGCACAGAAGAAAAAAGACAGGCACAGTTAGGCATATCTGTAAACCCAGAATCATCTGGGATGTTGACAGGAGGATCACAGGAACTTACCAGCATGCCCCATTTCAATGAGAGAGAGACATCTTTAGGGAATTATCACGAGAGTCATAGACCTCAACAACCAGTTTGTCCTTTGTCTGTTGTCACAGGAACACATTTACACACATAATGTATATACACACACACACACTTTTGAAAGTATGCCATGTGTGAATTACTTATCATTTATAATTGTTTATTGAGAAATTGCTAATTTTACACAAATTGTGTTCCCAAGTAACTGAAAAATCATGAACACTGTACACCGATATTATGTATGATAATTTATAGTGGTTTTAAAATAAGAATAGATTAGTAGTTTCAACATTTCTTTGATGCCTCAACATCATGTTGATCAAATTATTGTATTAGCCTAAAGCTTTAGAACTGTCAATTTTTTTGCCAATACAACTAATATTCAGAAAGACTTCCTTTTCCAATTATTCAAGCAAGTTTTGAGAACTTAAAAAAACCTAGTAAGCCATAATTGCATGCATATTAAAGCAACTAAGAGTAGCTAGAAGTGTCCTTAATATAAGACCATGATCATGAGCGTATAGATTATTGCAGCCACTCACAAAGCTATTATAAGTTTCTAGTTTTTATATAGATCCTATCATCTGTTCTAAAACTTAACTCTATTGCTTATTATTACATACATTTATTTTGAAAATAGTATAATTGGACAAAAACTAATATATGTACAAAAATATTTTCCTATGATTAAAGATCACACGTTTACTGAACACTATGAAAAGAAATGCTAAAAGCTTACTTTTTATTGATATTTTTTTCTTTTTATTATGATTATTAACTACACTTTATTCATTTTGTATCCCCCATAAGCCCCTCCCTCCTCCCCTCCCGATCCCACCCTTCCTCCCCTTTCTGCATGCATGCCTTTCCCCAAGTCCACTGATAGGGGAGGTCTTCCTCTGCTTCTTACTTTTTAAAATGGGTAAGATTTAAAAAATTCCAATGTTTTCATTTGGTTACCGTATCAAGAGGAAAAATTCATTACAGACTCAATAATATACGACAGGTTAAGTTCTACTTAAAAGTTGTTTGTTTTGTGCTGCATATTAATATATAGTTACCTTTTCTGACACAATTAAAATAATTGGGTTCTTTTAAAAGTATTGCCTAAAGTAGTAAAATCCTTATGTTTTAATATACATATAGTGCATATATTTCCTTGATCCCACTAGTAGTAAATTTCTGTTGAAATACAATCTAAATGATACATGTATAACTCTCACAGATATGATTCTTACCTGATATAGTAATCATTTCTGATAAGCAGAAAGTGTTGCAGAATGGATAATAAGTAACCTTCAGCAGCTGTGTCTTTGAGCATATTAAAGAGCAGGTGGTAGACTTCATTCATATCAGTAGAAGGTGAGTAAAGGAAAACATCAAAGATTAATGACAAATAGTACAATTACAAAAAAAAACAGCTAATTTTTAAGATCAAATGTATCACTTGGCTTGCATTATTGTAATTAATACTTCAAATTCATGTTGGAGAATTTAAACATTTATAGAAAAATTAATGCACTGATTAGAGAAACAAGTTTAAAGAAAATTTCCAAGAACACCTGGCTGTCCACACATTCAATAATCAGGCATTCATTATATTGTCAACTTCAGATAATAGCTAGGGCTGCTCAAATAGGAAATACTATAAAAGAAGCCTCAAATTACATGAATTGAAGATCATAAAAGTCCGCATAAGATAAAAGTAAAAGATACAGTCCCATTTCTTGAAACACCATGAAATGGGAAGTAGAATTAAATATACAATGCGCTTTTTAAAACCCTAAATGAGTGTGCTGGGTTGAAGTAATCCAATGAAACAATGGGGTACAGTTCTGTTGCTCTCCTTGTGGAGCTTCTATCCCCTACAGGTCTTGCTATCTCCCCCTTTTTTCATAAGATTCCCTGCATTCTGCCCAGTTTGGCTAAGAGTCTCAGCATCTGCTTTGATTCCTGCTGGGTAGAGTCTTTCAGAGGCCTTCTGTGGCTCCTGTCCTGTTTCCTATTTTCTCCTTGTTCCAATGTCCATCAAATTTGTCTTCCTGGGTGAAGATTGATCATCTTCCCCATGGTCCTCCTAAGGTGTACAGATTTTAGTTTGTTTATCCTATATATTATCTTTAGGTATACAGATTTTAGTATGTTTATACTATATTATGTGTCTAATATCTCCCTATCAATGAGTATATGCTGTGTGTGTCTTTCTGTTTCTGGGATACCTCACTCAGGATGACCTTTTCTAGATCCTACCATTTGTCTGCTAATTTTATGATTTCCTTTTTTTTTTTTAATTGCTGAGTAGTATTCCATTGTGTAAATGTACCACAATTTCTGTATCCGTTTCTCCACTGAGAGACATCTGGGCTGTTTCCAGGATCTGGCTATTATGAATAAAGCTGCTATGAACATGGTCGATCAAATGTCCTTCTGTACTTGAGCATCTTTTGGATATATGCCTAGGAGTGGTATAGCTGGATCCTGAGGAAGCGCTATTCCTACTTGACTGAGAAAGCACCAGATTGAAGCAAAAAATCTGGGCACTAGGGCTCTTCTGAAAGTGATACTCCAATCAAGGACCATTCATGGATATAATCTAGAAGTCCTAATCAGATATAACCCATGGCAGCTAAGTATCTAAGTGTGTTCCTAGTAAGGGGAACAGGGACTGTCTCTGACATGAACTCAGTGGCTGGCTCTTTGATCACCTCCCCTGGAGAGGGAACAGCCTTGCCAGGCCACAGAGGAGGACAATGCAGCCAGTCATGATAAGACCTGATAAGCTAGGGTCAGAAGAAAGGGGAGAAAGACCTCCCTTATCAGTGGACTTATAGAGAGATGTGGGAGGAGACAAGGGAGGAAGGTAGAATTGGGAATGAATGAGGTAGGGGGCTACAGCTGGGATACAAAATGAATAAACTGTAATTAATATAAAAATAAAAATTTAATAAAAAATGGTGTACAAAGCTAAAGTATTCTCAACAGAGGTATATCAAATGGCATAGAAACACTTAATGATCTGGTGAAGATCTTTTTCCAGTGACTCATAGAGTAAGGAATGTATATATACATATATGTATGTATATGTATATATGAAAAAATTTTCTTAAATTTGGAAATGGATAGATTTTTAACAAGATGTAGTATAGAGATAGATTTTAAAAAGTTTTGGGCACAGAGAGAATTTAAATAATTTTTAGAGAAAAATCCATATAACCAGTAAAGAGAGAGAAGTATTGAAGCTAACTGTAGCATAAACTTTCAATGAAATGTTATAATGCTACTCACGCATATAAATGAAAAGAGAGAAAAGCTCAATGTCCTTAGTCATCAGGGAGATGCAAATCAAAAGAACCCTGAGATTTCCCCTTACACCCATCAGAATGGCTAAGATCAAAAACTAAGGGACAACACATGCTGGAGAGGATGTGGAGAAAGGGGAACCCTCCTCCATTCCTGGTGAAAATGTAAACTTGTACATCACTTTGAAAATCAATCTGGTGCTTTCTCATAAAGTTACAAATAGTGCTACCTCAAGATCAAGGTATACCACTCCGGAGCATATATTCAAACAATGTTCAACCATAAAACAAGGGCATTTGTTCAACTATGTTCATAGCAGCTTTATTCAAAATAGCGAGAATCCAGAAAGAACATAGATGTCCCTCAACCAAGGAATGCATACAGAAATTGTGATTCATTTACACAATGGAATACACCTCAGGAATTGAAAACAAGGAAATCATGAAATTTGGATGCAAAGGGATGGAACTAGAAAAAATCATCCTGAATGAAGTAACCCAGAAGCAGAAAGACATACTTATAAATTGATATGAGACATATAATGTAGGATAAACATACTAAAATCTATAGTCCTAAAGAAGCTAAACCACATGGAGGACCCTAAGGAAGAGGCTGAAACCTCACTCAGAAGGGCAAATGGGATAGACATAGGAAGTAGAAGAAGACAGGGAATAGTACAGTAGCCTTCCACAGGGGGCCTCTGAAAGTCTCTACTCATCAGTGTCGAAGAGATGCTGAGACTCATAGTCAAACTATGGACAGAGTGCAGGGAATCTTATGGAAAAAGAGGAAGAGACAGACAGACCTGGAAGGGAAAGGAGCTCCACAAGGAGACCAACAGAGCCCCCTCTCCCCCAAAAAAATCTAAGCCCAGAGGGTCCTATCAACTAATGACCATGAATGGAGGGGACCTAGACCCCCTGTTCAGATGTAGCCCATAGTCAGCTCAGTCTCCATGTGAGTTCCCTAGTAAGGGGAGCAGGAGCAGTCACTGGCATGAACTCAGTTGCCTGCTCTTTGATCACCTCTCCCTGGCAAGGTGCCCTTACTAGACCACAGAGAAAGAGGATCCAGACAGTCCTGATGAGACCTGATAGCCTAGGGTAAGATAGTAGGGAAGGACACCTTCTTTATCAGTGGACTTGTGGAAGGACATAAAGGGTAAAGAAAGAGGAAGGTTGGGACTGGGAGGATATGAGGAAGGGGGTAGAGCCGAGATACAAAGTGAGTAAATTGTAAACAACAATAATAATAAGAGTACTGGGTTGATATATCATAAGGATCCTAAACAGCTACAGAATGGATCAAATGACTGATTATAAAATAGATGTTTATTGATCAAAATAAAAAGAAATTATATTAGTGATGCTGCTACAGACCACTGTTACTAATCTTTTCTTTTTTTTTTTTTTTTTTTTTTTTTTTTCCAAAACAGGGAATCTCTTTGTAGCCTTGGCTATCCTGGACTCACTTCGTAAACCAGGATATCCTGGAACTCACAGATATCCACTTTCCTCTGCCTCTTTGAATCCTGGGATTAAAAGTCATGTGCCACCATGAGTCACTGCTGTTATTAATCTTGAATTAGAAATTATTTCCTATGATGATATTTCTATTCAATGTGCTTACATTTATCCAGTACTTTTATGTAAGGTAAGATGAGTATACAAAAAAAAAAAAAAAAAAAAACATAAGGTAAATAAAGTACTATAAAGAGTTTTAAGGAGGGAAATAATGTTTTAGTTTGTTTAAAATACTGAAAGAAGAAAGGGAAGAAAATATTACAGGCAAAAAAAGCAAAGCTCAGATTCTGAAGTGTTTTCCTACTTCATAGGAACCAAAAAGTAAATTTTAACACATGGGAAACAAAAGGCAATACTATGACAATCACATTTTATATCTCAAATAATTTCACATCACATAGTTGACCCAGGAAGGTGCTGTTATATTTGATGTAGGGATTTTTTTTACAACATTGCTTTGCTATATACAGCTATTATTTTATCTAACAATTTTTGTATCATCAAGGAACACAAATACCTGATAAGGAATAAGACATTCATTGCCAGAGAATTGTGTCTGCAAGTGGAATACCCTTTAATAAATATGAAAAGTCTCTTGGCTAATATCACATATGAAGTTAAAAGAATTTCCCCTCATAATTATTGGTGAGATATACTGCCTCAAGCTCTTAAACTCTTGTATATTAAAAACTACTGAGCAGAATACAGTAATACAGTATTCTAATATAGTAAGCCATTGCGCGGATTCCAATAGTCTGAGTATATCATCAAAGCACAGTGACAATTGCTCAGCATGGATGGATAGCAAGGATAGCATTCTATTGGAGTGCTAGTAGAAATAAACATTCATAACTTGGTTCACAGATGAAAACTGTAAGAAGAATATTTAAAAAGTCTTTAATTCCTGCTTTTCAACATACACATAAAATTAGTTTTTGTTTGTCAAAGGATATTCCATTTCAGCTCGAATGTCATTAAGACGGTGGGATAATTCAGTTAGGTCATCTTCTTTGTTCTCTTCAAACACTCTCAATTGAATATCAAGCTCATCATTTTCTTTTTCTTTGAGACCCTATGTAAAAAATAAAATTCAGCAATTGAATAACTATATAAAATTAGCACACTTGCAAATTAGGGACACATCAGAATTATTCACTTGTACACATACGTAATTTCAAACAATGAACCATGACCTTGATTTCCTAAAAGAAAGTAAATGTAGCTAACCATTTTTATTTCAAAATGAAAAAAAAAAGAACCCTCATATCATTCTTTGCATTTTTTTCCATGCCTGTGTCTTGACTATTTATACTAAAATATTAGCAGTCATTTCTAGAACAACACTAATTTGATACTGTCATTTTGAGGGAACATACTCATCAGATCACAAAAGGAGTCATGCAGTTAGGAGATTCCCATGTGTCGCAGGCACCAAGAAAACAATGCAAATATAGATTAATTGTGTTAATGAAAATCAAATACAAGGATATATTCAAGCACAACAGTCCCAAGTATGGCCTGAAAATATTGTATAAGTAAATTTATTATGAATGGTATTTTGTTATTTTAAAGTGAAAAAGTAGTAAGATTTTTTTTCTAAAACAAGGTATAGCTGGCCACAATGGCAATATTTCATTTTCACTTAGAATAATCACAAAATACCAATTTAAGCATCAAAGATTTGTTTTTGTAATGCACCAAAAGCACAAACTAATATTACAAACCTCTGATAATTCTCCCAATAATAATATCAAGTAAGATTGGAAGCATGCCACACTAGAGATTGTTGGGCTTAATATATGTCACCTGAAATATCTTTTAATATTTGTCCATTAAGTAACAGCTTTGAAAACTGAAATCAATAATCACAACTGTGAACGATCAAGGATTATACCCAAAGTGGGATTATGATGTTCAGAGCTGAGCTTGAATTCTAAAAAGAAATGTAAGCAAGGAGTACTTCAAATTAGATAAAGAAAAAAATGGGATGCATATCTTCTTTCTATTTTGGTTTCTATTTTTATTCAAGAACAATGATGAATATGGATTTAATGGCCATTACTAAAGAAAAACACAAAACAAAGCAATTTTTGATATCCCTTCTTTGAATCTCTATATTTAATTTAATAAATGTTTTCCTATAACACATTTAAAATAAATTATAATTTTAAAAATAGTCTCATATAAAGCATATAATGAATAAAATTATTTCCACTTGGTTTCTTCTAAACTAAGAATTTGTTTTGGGTTGAACTATCTACTTTCAGGAGAAAAAGATTCATTGGAATACAGAATTACATAATACTTGTGTATCATATTAACATGTGAGCTAAAAATTCATCCAGAAAACATCCAGGATATAAAAATAACAAAAAAACAATTTAGAACAAGGTAGTTTCTTTATTCTCATGTAAAAATGAGTTCCACACTACCATTTGACTAGTACCAAAAACTTCATTGAAAAATAGAAAAAATTCTGCACAATTAAATACTTTCAAGAAAAGTGGTAACAGATGAGGTATATTACTTATTTAACAAAATATATGCACATATATATAAAAAACATACTAAGTGTTTTAATAATTTTCTGGCCCTATTCATATGTGTATATAAATATATTTATATACACATATATTTATATTTATATTGTTAAGTTTTCATTTAGATGTCAAAGTCTGAAAGATATTGCCATGAATTCTTAATAAAATAAACATTTGATGACTTCAAAATTAATATGGCAGCTATAACACAGCTATATCACTCTTTGGCATATAATCAAAGGACTCTAAATCTTATTACAGACTGCACACAAACATTATTTTTATTGCATCATTCTTCATAACCTGATGTATTTAAGTTAACTTATGTACTTAAACAAAAGGTAGAGGCAGAAATTTTGAAATAAATCGATATAAATTATTTTAAAGGCAAATATATTTTAAAAGTTGCTATAGAATGTATATCAATTTATTTATGCCAAACAACTAAAACAAACTTATTCAAAGAGAATAATCTATATTCCATTTAACAGCACTGTAGTTATACAGTGATAGAGGGATTATGAAAATAAATTTCACATAATACGTTAAAATTAACTCAATTATCATGAAGATTTTTTAAATTAATTCTAAAGCTTTTATAGTTAAAAATATTGTGTTGAGCCAGGTGTCTGAAGCCAATCTGGCCTACAAAGTGAGTTCAGGAGAGCCAAAGCTACAGAGAGAAACATTGTATTGAAAAACAAACAAATTTTTAAAAAATTGTGTTGATTTTAGAAGTACCTATTTCCCCTACCAACTAATTATACCAGAGAGATATAACTTTTGATCTACATGCCAATCACTGATCCTAGACTTAAACATACCCAATTCATTACATTTGTTAAGCTCTAGACTATAAAACAGAAATCCTCTTATTTGACATGTCTATAAAATAAGGATAAACACAAAAGAAACATTTAAATGGCTTATACTTATTTATTAATACAGTCAAGGTTCAATGACTGTACAAAGATGTTGATTGTTACTATATATTATAATTCTTTCCATGAAAGATTTACTTAATTGGTGTGTTCATTATGTACCAGTTGACATTTAAGGAACATTTAGTATTTATTGAAGTAGGATCGTTTTGTTCATATTACATCCTGATAATTAAATGACAACAATTACAAACAATAAAGAAATGTATGGAATTAAAGAAATTTTACTCAGTATAACAAAGGCCTATCAAACTAGATTATACTTTTAATCAAAAATAACAGGGAAGTATATCTTCAAAGTAGACATTCCTAATCCATTCTTAATATGACTCTAACAGTCTTTCTAGAGGGAGTATTACACTCTCAGCTTACATTTAGAGACATGTTTATGCATATTTAAGTTGACCTTCTAAGAGAAATATTTAAAAATGCCTTTAGGATTTACTCCAAAACATTATGCGAAGACACAAGATGTTTTCCATTTCACTCATGCTGAGAAATCACTGAGATCTGAATCAGAACATAACAGAGATATGACAATCAAAGAAAAATATCCATGCCCATCCAAGAAACTATTCACAACTGAGAGCTGCTGGGAGAGGGAAAATCAATTTTCATTAATAATAATAATAATAATAATAATAATAATAATAACGATCCTTGGTATATCTACCACAACCCATGGCATGTCCCATGCTCAGAACTAGTCAGCCAATATAAACCATGTTTTTGACATTTTTGATGTTGTTTTAAAGAAAGAGAAAAAACATTAAGTGGGGTGGGTAGAAAGGTGAGAAATGAACTTAGATGAGGTGGGGAAGGAGAAAGCATATGATAACATGTACTGCATGAAATTTTCAAAACATCAATAAAAACATCTAAAAAGGAAAGTCAGTTTTCAGAAAATATGCATAATAAATAAAATATAAGGTAAACACTATGTAGTAGAATTAACAGAGAGATGGTGCTTACTTATCACTTTAAAATTTTTCCAAATATAATTTAATATTATCCTAATTAGAACAAACATTTACATTCAATTTAAGAAATGAAACTGTTTCTCTTTATTGCTAAAGCAGCCTAATAAGAATACTATATTCAAGCAAAGTATCTCACATATAATAACCAAACCTCAATATGCATACTTATGTTGACTGCAAGTGAAATCAACATTTAAATAAAAAGTGAAATTGCCAAATAAATAAATACATAGATAAATAAATAAATAAAGCAAACTTGCCTGCTACGCACTCTAGTTTCAAAATAGAGATAAAATAAATCCTTTATGATTTAAAATTAAAACTATAATGTTTGGGTCACATCATTAACTGAATAATGAATCATATAATATGTAGTGAGAATAATACTATCATAACACAAAAAGAAAGCTTACAGATTATCTAATGTTTTATTTGTGCTCTCCTTCAAAATGTACTCTTGCTTGAAGAGTAAAGAAAAAAGTTCAGAAGCATAATAAATAGATACATTCAACTTACTGGGAGCATTGCTTTTAGTCCAGAGCGGAGGAATTCATTCCTCAAATGAATTCGAAAATCAAGATCATAGGGAGAAGTGACAAGTGCATTTATGAACTGCATGCAGGCCACCTACCAAGAGAAAGTAAATTACAGGCAATATATTCAGTAAAGGCATATATATGCAAATATATATGAAATGTAAATATTCCTTTATGTATAATGATTATTATGACTTTGTAAAATAAATAACATAAGCAATCAAGATTATGTTAGCCAACATAATTTTAACAAAACAGTTAAGTGTGTTTGCTTTATTGAACAATATGAAAGGATACTTCACTTGCCTTAAGAAACCACAAATTCCTCTATTTAGAATTTTCTGTTTATTTATGCACCCCATATTTTAATTGGATTACTTGGTGTGTTGGTGTTTAACTTCTTGAGGTCCTTATATATTCTGGATATTAGCTCTATGTCAGATGTAGGGTTGGTGAAGAACTTTTCACAGGCTGTAGGCTGCCCGTTTGTTCTGATGACAGTGTCGTTTGTTTTATAGAAGCATTTCAGTTTCAGGAAGTCGCATTTATTGATTGTTGATCTTAGAGCCTGTACTTTTGGTGTTCTGTTCAGCAAGTTGTCTCCTGTGCCAATGAGGTCACATTGGCAAGTAGCTCTTCCCCATTTCTTGTTCTAACAGGTTTAGTGTGTATGAATTTATGTTGAGGTCTTTGATCTACTTGGAATTTACTTATTTAAAATTTATTTTGTTTTTATCAATTACAGTTTATTCACTTTGTATCCCAGCTGAAGCTCCTTCCCCCTTCCCCTCCTAATGCCACCCTTCTCACATCTTCTCACATGCCCTTCCCCAAGTCCACCAATAGGGGAGGTCCTCCTCCACTTTCCTCTAAACCTAGAATATCAGGTCTCATCAGGAATGGCTGCATTGTTGTCCTCTGTGGCCTGGTAAGGCTGCTCCCCGTGAGGAGGAGGTGATCAAATAGCCAGACACTGAGTTCATGTCAGAGACAGTCCCTGTTCCCATTACTAGGAAACTCACTGCGAGAATGAGCTGCCATGGACTACATCTATGCAGGAGTTCTACGTTGTTATCTCTATGAATGGTCCTTGGTTGAAGTATCACTCTCAGAAAAGACCCCTTTGCCCAGATTTGGGGGGGGGTTCTATTTTTCTCCTTGTGGATCTCCTGTCTCCTGCAGGTCTTTCTATCGCCCCCTTCTTTCATAAGATTCCCTGCACTTTGACCAAAGTTTGGCTATGAGTCTCAGCATCTGCCTTGATACACTGCTGGTTAGAGTCTTCCAGTGGCCCTCTGTGGTAGGCTCCTGTCCTGTACCCTGTTTTCTCCCTTTTCAGATGTCAGTCCCATTTGCCTTTCTGAGTGAGGATTGATCATCTTACCCAAGGTCCTCCTTTTTGCTTAGCTTCTTTAGGTGTACAGATTTTAGTATGTTTATCATATATTATATGTCTAATATCCCCTTATAACTGAGTATATACCATGTGTTTCTTTCTGCTTCTGGAATAACTCAATCATGATGATCTTTTCTAGTTCCCACCATTTCTCTGCAAATTTCATGTTTTCCTTGTTTCTAATTGCGAGCAGTATTTCATTGTGTAAATGTACCACAATTTCTGTATCCATTCCTCAACTGAGGAACATCTGGGATGTTTTCAGATTAAGGTTATTACAAATAAATGACCCTGCTATTTTACCTTACACCCATCAGTATATCTAAGATAAAAAACTCAAATGACAACACATGCAGGAGAGGATGTGGAGAAAGGGGAACCCTCGTCCATTGCTGATGGGAATGTAAATTTTTACAACCACTTTAGAAATCAAACTGGTGCTCTGTCAGAAAATTACGAATAATTCTACCTCAAGATCCAGCTATACCCCTCTTTGGCATATATATAAAATATGCTCAAGGATATTTGCTCTTAGCAGCTTTATTCATAATCACCAGAATCTGGAATCAACGGATAAACATACTAAAATCTGCACACCTAAAGAAGCTAAGCCAGAAGGATGACCCTGGATAATCTGATCAATCCTCATTTGGAAAGGCAAACAAGAATGGGCATCCAAAGAGGAATAAAACAGTGAACAGGAGAGCAGCCTACCACAGAGGGCCTCTGAAAGACTCTACCCAGCCTGGTATTAAGGCAGATGCTGAGACTCACAGCCAAAGTTTGGGCAGAGTGCAGGAACTCTTATGAAAGGAGGAAATGAAAGACCTGGAGGGGACAGGAGCTCCATAAGGAGAGCCACAGATTAAAACAAATAATAATAAAATCTGGGCTTTTTTTCTGAGACTGATACTTGAAACAAGGACCATGCATGGAGATAAACTAGAACCCCTGCACATATATAGCCCATGGTAGCTCAGGATCCAAGTGAGTTCCCTACTAAGGAAACATGAACTAAGTGTCTGTCTCTTTAACCACCTCCTCCTTAGGGGAGAACAGCCTTACCAAGGCACAGAGGAAGACAATGCAGCAAGTCCTGATGAGATCTGATAGGATAGGGTCAGAGGGAAGGTGAAGAGAACTGCACATATTTGTGGATTGGGGGAGGGGCATGGGACTAGAAGTGGGAGGAAGGGTGGAATTCGGGGGTATGAGGGAAGGGGCTAGAGCTGAGATACAAAATGGATAAATTGTAATTAATATAAACATAAATTAATTAAAAAATATATTCCTTTAGTTTTATATCAAATCTTGTACACTAAAGTTATTGGCTAAATGTGGCTACTATAGCAAGTCTAGTATCAAAAGTCAAATATTTTTTGTTTAGAGAACAAAACTGTGGTTGTTAACAAAATTACCAAGGACACAAAAAATAACTGAACAAAGTATTCCAATTTCTAGGAATGGTCAGGTATCAAGATGTGGAGATGAGGGAGGGAGGGTGGGATTGGGAGGGAATGAGGGAGTGGGACACAGCTGGGATACAGAGTTAATAAAATGTAACTGATAAGAAAAAAAATAAAATTAAATAAAAAAAGATATACATTTAGGCAACGAAAGAAATATTGGATATTCTATCGGGAATCATATGTCTATATGAGTACTGGGCTGTCTTTTATAAATTAAGAAACTGAGTAAATCTTTATAGAATTTCAAAAGGTATTTAGTATAAATGCTTATATATTGAGTACAGTTCTAATTAACATATTTTCTAATTAGTCTTGTTAAGTTACAACTATGACATGACATAACAAGCCAAATCATATTCCCAATTCAAAATTAATAGGCAGAAAAGTTGCCATCTGGTAGGGTTCTTTTCGCCATAAGAAATTCTATCTACATGATATATTAGTACCTTACAAGTAAAGAAAACATTCTTATAAAAAAAAAAAAAAAAGGTTAATCAGTGTTGTTGTGTTTTTTTTTTTTTTTCAATGAAAACCAATCCTTTATGGAACAACTATTATTTAGTGTGCATCACCAAGTAAGGGCTTTATTTATATATTTTCACTTTATTTTTCGGGTTCTGGAAATGGAAAGTTGCCTGTGGGCCAAGAGTACAGGGAGTGGATGCAATTTCAGAAAATTAAGGAAGTTCCTGTGAAAAAGGCTGTCAAAAGGAAGACTGCCACATTGGCTTGTCTCCATGAGTGCTGCTCTTCCTCTTTAGCTGTTTCTTTTTTATGTTTTTCTTTATTATTACTATTTATTATAATTTATGCATGTTGTGTTCTGGCTGTATGGCCTTCTGTTGTCTCTTCCAGGTCCCACCCTCCTTCCTTTTTCCCCCCATGTTAGTCTTATAGCAATACCTTTCTATAAACAGAACTATTTTATTAAGGACATGAAAAATAGTAAAAATGAAAATTGAATACATCAACATCAATATATTATATGCAACAATATAAAGAACACATGTTATTAAATGCTTTATACATAACATACACAAACACAGTTGAATACCTAAAAAAGAAGCTGAACATAGTCTGTGATATAAAATAAGTCAGAAATGATTTAAAGCTAGTAGTTGAAGTAAAGGCAACAAAAATGCCATGTATTGCTTACCAAATTCTATAAGGTATCTGATTAGTAACATATCAACTGCAAACTATATTTGATAAGGAAGTACTTTTACAGATATAGTTATACTGTATTATTGTAAGTAAAACTCTTATTTATCAATTTCTATAACATAGTTATTATTCAGGGAATAATAATTTAGGAATTTAACTGAAATTATTACAACTTTCTTAAGTGTAAAATTACATAATTATTTCAAGAGGCACAACACATTGTTATGAAATATCCACTGTATGGACCCAATATACATAATTCAAATAACTAGATGCAAAACCATAATCTTTTATTATCTGCAATATTGAATTTTTTATATATGGCTGGAAATGGCTTAGGTTCATTACATAATTTACCATCTAAAGTCATTCTCATAGAAGACATTATATTTCTCATATGGAGAAGTTGAGGCTTCCAGTAAATGTGAGGTCAAAAAGAAAGAAAATTATATTTTTAAGTTACAGTATTTTAATTCAAATAGAAAAGAATTCAAGAATGTTCCAGATACCTTTGAAACTCCATACATAGATTCATGCAATAAAAGATTCTAATGCTGTTTAAGGTGATAAAATTTGTCTGTGGCATCATGGTTGATAAATTAGGAACATCTACCATTATAGCGACATTTATTTATAAAAGCATGAAATTAATTTAATAATATGTTGTCTAGAACTAGTAAGAGTTACCAAAATTATAATTAAGTACAAATAAAAATAGCAAAAGGAGAAAATTATTCTTGGTTGGGGTACATCCCACTCCATATACATTCCATGAAGTTACATATAGAGTATAGCATCTTCTAAATTACTGGTTTCTCTTTCCTCTCTGATGTCCACCAAGGTGCCCAATGGCTTGAAAAATACATGTAATTTATACCTACCATACTCAGACAAAAGGAATAAAGAATACTACAGGAGATTTGACTGAGTAGCATTGCATTAGAGACATTAATGAAGATAGAGTTATAGGGCCCTCTGAGGTAAGCTCTGAATAATTACAAACCTCATTGCCAAAATAATGGAAGTTTCAAAACTTTGACGCTCAGCTTCCAAGAATATAAA